TGTCACTAGTTGGAGAAAGAGTATTGGACTAAATTCTACAGCTGTTCATGGTAAAAGCTATCAGGACACTAGAAGTAGAACTCCCAATTAAACCTTCAGGAAAGAACTCCATGATATACAGAGTACAGTTTAAAGGGACCCTTTTCTTTAGAGGGGCCTGGGAATATTTGGAAGTAATAGAAATATTTGGAAGTTTGGTTTTGTTGGATCTGTTCACAGTAATGATGGCATTGGCATGTGACAGTAGTAGTGATGATGGTAGTGATGGTGGTGAAAGGGGAGGAAGGGAAGAGAAGATCAGGCCATAACTGGCTGGCCGGCCGGCCACTTCTGTTTTTATAAATTAATGTTTCCAATTAGGAAATATCACTGGTACCTTATTGGTGTTAGAGGCAATGTCTTGCTTTTTTTAAATAGAACAACAAACACCTTTATTACATGATCTATGCCAGGAGAGAGGACTTATTTTGTCTTTTAGGGCCTTGATTTTCCCTAAATAGAACTTCAGCTCCTTGCCCTCTAGCAGAGGTAATGTCTTTCATAGAGATAGATCTAAGAAATGGTTACACAGTATCAAGGCAATGGCAAATTTAATAGTGAAGTAAGAGTAATGATAATAATAATAAATAATAATAATAGCTTCAGACTCCTGGAAGGGACAACAACGGAGGAGTTATTAAATATTATTCAGAGAGACAATAAAAGCAACCATAATACTACTTTACATGTAAACAGCACTCTACAGTTTGTAAGGCATTTACATATCATCACCTATTTCTCAGCATTATCCAGGAGATACATTTTTTCAAGTTTTATAATATGCATGAGTCAGGAAGAAATAGATAGGTGTAGGCATTATTGACACCAAAGAAAGGGGTAAATAAAGTCTCAGAGGAGGGAGATTCAGCGTATTCCAGATTCTCATTTCCCTCGATCCTTGGGAGAGAATGTGGTTATCTTTATATAGAACAAAGGGAAGTAGGAGAGATATTAATCAAACACAAAATCCTCAACTTACAGTCAGGGCTTCTGTGTAGGCTGTGCCCTGCACAGAGGAACTGAACTAAGTGAACATGATATCCAAAGTCCAGTCCATTCTCTGCTCCTCAAACCAGGAATTCTTTCTGACGTTTTTCATCAAACAGCACAAAAGAACATTCTCTCATGGAGCAGAGCAGCTGTAGGATTACATTCTCCTTGGAGGCAATCTTTTCCTCATTTCTGTAAAGGTGGCAGGAGGCCCTAACTATGGCTCTTTAGAGAACTTTTCAAATGGCTATTTCAAACTCTCCTTTTTTCTCCTCACCCTTTTGCCTATCAGCCTTAATCTTTGTTGATTGTGACCTTTTTTGCTGTTGTTGTTCGAGCTTACTTGGCTGTTGGAGTATTTGGGGCTTCCTTTAAATCCTTTCAAATTGAGAACTATACATTACAGTATGACACAGTCAGAACGGCCTTTAGCTCTTCCAAAATTAGATACATCATTGCTTGTATGTTTATTGTCAGAGAGTTGGCTACATTCTTTCCATCAAAGATTCTTGTATACAAAGTAAGAATAATAGCAAAGCAATGATGATAACAGTTAATATTTATTGATAGTTTATTATGTGGTAATCATTTTGCAAGGGATTTGTATGCACAATTTCAATTCTTATATTGCTCCTATAAGTAAGGCCAATTATTGTTTATCAACTTTATGGATTAGAATTCTGGGGCTGAGGAGTTAAATAATATATTCAATGTCACATAGCTACTGAATGGAAAAGCCAGGATATGTATTCATGTTAGTCTAAAGCAGTGATTCTCAAATCTAAGTGTGCACCAGAATCTCCAAAAGGTCTTATTAAGACACAGATCACTGGGACTCTTCCTCAGAGTTCCTGATTCAAGAAAGCTAGGGTTGGGTCCCAGAATGTGCATTTCTAACAAATTCCCAAATGATACTGATGGTCTAGGGACCACACTTTAAGAACTTGTCTAATGAAAGATCTATGGTCTAATGTTTGCTGTCCACTTGAGGTATGATCTTACAGTGTACCTAATAGAGATCCTCTGTTCTTTATATGATGTACAATTCAGTCCTTCTATTTTTCTTGTATTAAATTCTTTTATTGGTAGATTGTAGGTATACAACACAATTACATTTCTCATTGGGAATTGTACCTTTACATAATGCATCTTGGTTCTTATTTT